TACTCAAACTATTTTTTTACGCCCATTTCCGTATTTACAAGTCATTTCTTAAGAATCCTCCAAATTTCGTTGCCCATGAATCTGCCACCCGGAGTGCTCAAATTTTTTTATGAGGACCTCCGTAATGAGTTGGGAAACCTTCACATATACTCACACCATTTTTAACGACTATTTTCGCATTTACAAACCCTTTTACAAGAATCACCCAAATTTCCCAATTTTTCGTGTGTATTAGCCCATGGATCTGGTGCTTGGAGCACCCTGATGTTTGCATAATCAAGACACAACTTCCAATTCGAGTGTCTACGATCGTACAATAGTAAAGTAATCTAACCAAGGGTTGGAGTCGAGTCATAAGGGAGTGGTTTTGAGAATTAATAGAAAAATAAAATGTAGTTCTAATTAGTCATAGCTATAGACATTATCGAATATAAGCATACTAAATCTAAAGGGGGTGTCGCAAGCGTCAATTATCAATAGGGGGTTTTGTATCAAGTAACAACAAAAAAAAGTAAAAATATAAGAAAACGAGATAAAGAGACGAGATTCTTGGGATGTGATAAGAATACGTGATAAACTAAACTGTCGAGTACATGTTTTTGATAGTAAATTGTTGAGTATTTGTGAGTAGGCTAGACTTTAGTGGGGGTAAATTCTCTCTCGAGCAACTTACCCCGAATCGACTCGGTTTCTTTTGAACACCAAGTTGCCGCTTTGAGCACAACCTCCGCCTTAGCCTATTCACTCTCTCGAGCTGAATGTGTGGGAGAAGGACTATGATTAACTCTCTCGAGCTGAACCCATGTCGACCCAATACCACCGGCTATCAATTTAGTAGTCTTAGTTTTACGACCTCTCTCTTGAGCAAGTCGAAAACACTAAGATGAAATCATATTTGCAACTACAACTCCATTAAGTTCATATACAACTACTAAACGAAATCACATCTAAACAAAAAATAAACCATCAACAAGCAAGACCCAACATATAATCTAACCCATATTCACAAAATCACATCCCAAGAATTGGGGTTTTAGCTAGACATGTAAAAAAGATAAAAATTTATGTCAATATCAGTTTTCATCAACTGGGTATGAAGGATTAAGTCTTAAAACACTTCAAGAGTGAAGAATCTTTGAGACCCAAGTCCAATTTCTTGGAGTTGAAACCCTTTGAATCTTCAAGGTCTTAGAACAAAGTCTCCAAAACCCTTTAAAACTTAAACTATCTAAAAACTGTAAAAAGTTCTAAGAATAATATTGATATAATACTAAGTTAGAAATTTAAACAAGTATTTATAGTGTTTGAAAATGTGCTGTGAAGGACCCTTCGGCGAAGTTAGTCGGGATAGCCGATATATTCGGCGATCTGCCGTTTGGTCGATTTCATCGCCTTCCTGCTTTAGCCTTTAGCAACTTCATGTTTTGAGTTGTTGGGCGCTATGGTACTGCTTCGCGGAACTGTTTGGCGACACACCGACTGCTCTATTTCATAGCCAACTTGACCTTTTCCTTCAGGGCTCAGCGCACTGGCACAAAAGGTGATCTCCAGGCCGATCAACGACTCGCCTACTGGGATCGACGATCTCCAAGCCTTTATTTTTTCATTCTTTTCAGCCGCCTCGTTCCTTCTTGCCAAGTAGTGTCCATGCTTTGCCTCAAACTACAAATACCTGAAACTTAAGGATTTTCATCAGATATTGAGACAAAATATGCATTTAAGGACACTAATTCTATCAAAATATAGCCCTAAATGAGTCCAAATTGTGGACTCATCACACCCAAAATATTTTTCTCAAGAAATTTTATGAGGACCTCCGTAATTAGTTTGGGAACCTTCACGTACACTCACATGATTTTCTTAATGCCCATTCTCGCATTTACAATCCCTTTTTTATGAATTGCCCAAATTCCCCAATTTTTCGTGTGTGTTAGCCAATGGATCTATCCCCCGGAGCACTCAAAATATTTTATTTTCAAAAATCTTTCTGAGGACCTCTGTAATGAATTGAAGAACCTTCACGTATATTCATTCCATTTTTTTACCCATTTCCGCATTAACAAGTTCTTTTTTAAGAATCATCCAAATTCTCTAATTTTTCGTGTGTATTAGCCTATGGATCTAGCACCCAGAGCACCCAAAATACTTTTCTTAAAAAAACTTTATAAGGACCTTCGTAATGAGTTGGAGAACCTTCACGTATACTCGCATAATTTTCTTAGTTCCCACTTTTGCATTTACTTGCCCTTTTTAAGAATCACCCAAATTACCCAATTTTTCTCGTGTATTAGCCCATGGATCTGGTCTCAGAGCACCCAAAATTGTTTTCTCAAAAAACTTTAAGATGACCTCAGTAATGTGTTGGTGAACCTTCACGTATACTTATACAATTTTTAATGCCTATTTTCGCATTTACAAGCCTTTTTTTATGAATCGCCCAAATTCTCTGATTTTTCGTATGTTTTAGCCTATTAATCTATCGCCCAGAGCATTCAATTTATTTTTTTTCTCAAAAAAGTTTATGAGGACCTCCGTAATGAGTTGGGTAATCTTCACATATTCTCACACCATTTTTAACGCCATTTCCACATTTACTAGCCTTTTTTTAAGAATTGCCCAAAATTTCCAATTTTCGTGTGTCTAGCGCTAGGAGCACTCAAATTATTTTTTTCAAAAAACTTTATGAGGACCTCTGCAATGAGTTGGGGAATCTTCATGTATACTTACACCATTTTTTAACGCACATTTCTGCATTTACAAGCCCTTTTTTAAGAATCACCCAAATTTCCCAATTTTTCATGTGTATATGCCCATGGATCTCGCGCTCGGAGCACCCAAATATATTTTCTCAATAAACATTATGAGGACCTCTGTAATGAGTTGGGGAACCTTCACGTATACTCACACGATTTTGTAACGATCATTTTCGCATTTACAAGCCATTTTTAAGAATCGCCCAAATTTCTCGATTTTTTGTGTAATAGCCCATAGATCTGGCGCCCGTAGCACCCAATTTTTTTTCTCAAAAAACATTATGAGGACCTACGTAATGAGTTGGGGAACCTTCAGGTATAGTCACACAATTTTTTTGATGCCCATTTCCGCATTTACAAGTCCTTTTTTAAGAATCACCTAAATTTCCCAATTTTTCGTGTGTATTTGGCCAAGGATCTGGCGCCCGGAGCACGCTAAGATTGTTTTCTCCAAAAATTTTATGAGGACCTACGGAATGAATAGGGCAACCTTCACGTATACTCACACCATTTTTAGCGCAAATTTCCGCATTTACAAGCCTTTTTTAAGAATCGCTCAAATATCCTGATTTTTTGTTTGTTTATGAGGACTTCGAGTTAGGGAACCTTCACATATACTCATACCATTTTTAATGTCATTTTTTTATTCACAAGCCATATTTAAGAATCGCCAAAATTCTCTGATTTTTCGTGTGTATTAGCCCATGGATCAAGTGCAAGGAGCACCCAATTTTTTTCCACAAAAAACTCTATGAGGACCTCCTTAATGAGTTGTGGAACCTTCATGTATACTCACACCATTTATTTTATGCCAATTTTTGCATGTACAACCCATTTTTTAAGAATCCTCCAAATTCCTCGATTTTCGTGTGTATTAGCCCATGGATCTGGTACCCGAAGGACCCAAAATTGTTTTCTCAAAAAATTTTATGAGGACCTCTGTAATGTGTTGGGGAACCTTCACGTATGCTCACACAATTTTTTAACGACCATTTCTGCATTTACAAATCCTTTTACAAGAATCACCCAAAATCTTCAATTTTTTGTGTGTATTATCCCATGGATCTGGCAACCGGAGCACCCACAATATTTTTCTTAAAAATATTTATGAGGACCCCGTAATGAGTTTGGGAACCTTCACGTACACTCACACCATTTTTCCAATTCCCATTTCTGCATTTACGAGCCCTTTTTTAAGAATTGCCAAAATTCCCCAATTTTTCGTGTGTATTAGCCCATGAATCTAGCGCCCGGAGCACTCAAAATATGTTTTTCAAAAAACTTTATGAGGACTTCCGTAATGAATTGGGAAACCTTCACGTATACTCACACCATTTTTTATGCCCATTTTCACATTAACGAGCTCTTTTTTAAGAATCGCCTAAATTTTCCAATTTTTTTGTGTGTATTAGCCTATGGATCTGGCGCCCAGAGCACTCAAATATTTTTTCTCAAAAAACTTTATGAAGAACTTCGTAGTGAGTTGGAGAACCTTTACGTATACTTATATCATTTTTTTAACGCCCATTTCCGCATTCACAAGCAATTTTTAAGATAAGAGTCTGATCTTCTCGCTTAAAATATGCGATTCCTCCGGAGTGAAGTTGTTGGGGGGAAGATAAGATGATGAAGCTAGTTTAATTGAGGAAACCACTTTCTTTAATGTATACTAGCTAGTCTACAAAAGCATGACGCTTGACACTTCTGCTTTTTTTAGTCCACTCTCCCTTAGAAAATAGAGTTGCTTGAAAGCGGATTTCGAAATTACATAGGTGAATGTAGAGATCACCGGTGTCCTACTCGAGACGAAGTGCTTGTCGTCCCCAAACCAAAAGGGATGAGGGAAAAAGGCTATTCCACAAATTTTCGTGTGTATTAATTAATTAGCCTATGGATCTGGCGCCTGTAGCACCCGAAAAACATTTTCTCAAAAAACTTTATGAAGACCTCTGTAATGATTGGGGAACCTTCACGTATACTCACACCATTTTTTTAATGTCCATTTCCGCATTTACAAGCCTTTTTTAAGAATCACCTAAATTTCTTAATTTTTCGTGTGTATTAGCCCATGGATCTGGCGCTCGGAGCACCCAAAATATTTTTCTCAAAAAACTTTATGAGCACCTCTATAATGAGTTAGAGAATCTTCAGGTATGCTCACACTATTTTTTTAACGCCCATTTACGCATTTACAAACCTTTTTTTATGAATCGCCCTAATTCCCCTATTTTTCATGTGTATTAGCCCATGGATCAAGCGTCCGAAGAACCAATTTTTGTTAATGTCACAAGATTTTCATCCTTGAAGAAATTATACCTGCAAAAGAATGTGCTGAATGGTTTTTTCATGGAAAGAGTGGGACAAGTTTCGAGCCTAGAGTATCTAGGCTTGTTTGATAACCAAATGAGAGGGCCATTACTAGATTTAGCATGGTTTCCATCATTAAGAGAGCTGCATCTTGGCACTAATCAATTTCAAGGAAGGATACCACAAGGTATTGGAAAGCTTTCACAGCTTAGAATTTTGGATGTCTCGTCCAATAGGTTAGACGGATTACCAGAAATCATGGGGCAACTATCAAACCTGGAAATGTTTGATGCCTCTAATAATGAAGGGTACTATCACAGAGTCCCACTTTTCAAATCTCTCCAATTTTGTAGACTTAGACCTATCCTTCAACTTGTTGACTTTGAACACGAGCTTTGATTGGATTCCTCCATTTCAACTACAATTTATAAGGCTTCCATCATGCAATATGGGACCTTCTTTCTATAAATGGCTTCAAACTCAGAATAACTACACTCTTCTTGATATTTCTCTTGCGAATATATCAGACATGCTACCAAGTTGGTTCTCCGATATTCCTCCCGAGCTTAAGATTCTGAATCTCTCTTACAACCACATAAGTGGCAGAGTTTATGAGTTCATTAAAAAAGATTACATGATTATAGATTTAAATTCTAACGACTTTTCAGGACCTTTGCCACTAGTTCCTGCCAATATACAAATCTTTTACCTACATAAAAATCACTTCTCTAAATCCATTTCTTCCATTTGTAAAAATACAATAGGAGCTGCCACTTCGCTTGACTTGTCACGTAACCAATTTTCAGGAGAAGTTCCTAATTGTTGGATGAATATGAGTAATCTATCTGTTCTTAATCTAGCCTACAACAATTTCTCCAGAAAAGTTCCATTATCATTAGGCTCCTTGACAAATTTGGAGGCGTTATACATACGCTAGAACAACTTTAGAGTAATGTTGCCTTCTTTTTCACAATGTCAGCTGCTTCAAATCTTGGATCTTGGAGGGAATAAGCTTACTGGAAGAATCCCAGCATGGATAGGGACTGACCTACTCAAGTTGCGCATTCTAAGCCTACGGTCAAACAAATTCAATGGCATCATTCCATAACTTATCTGCCAGCTTCAATTTCTTCAGATATTGGACCTTTCAAAAAATGAATTATCTGGGAAAATTCCATAGTGCGTCAACAATTTTACCATATTGCGTTAAGAAAATGGCACCGGTGAGTCAATGGATTTTCAAGTCCGCTATGACTATATTCCAGGATCTTACTTGTACATAGGTGATTTATTGATTCAATGGAAAAACCAGGAGTCCGAGTACAAGAATGCTTTACTATATTTGAAGATTATTGATCTTTCAAGTAATAAATTGGTTGGAGGTATCCCTAAAGAGATAGCTGAAATGCGAGGATTGAGATCATTGAACCTCTCGAGAAATGATCTTAATGGAACTTTCGTTGAAGGAATAGGTCAAATGAAGCTGTTGGAGTCTCTTAACTTGTCAAGAAACCAACTTTCTGGCATGATCCCTCAGGACTTTGCTAACTTGACTTTTCTTAGTGTGTTGGACTTGTCGAACAACCACTTATTAGGGAGAATTCCATCAATCACTCAACTGCAGAGTTTCGACAGATCATCCTATAGTGGCAATGCTCAACTCTACGGTCCTCCTCTTGAAGAGTGTCCCTGATATGCTCTCCCTATCGATCATGGAAGCAACACCAATCCTCAAGAACATGACGATGATGATGACGATGATGATGAGGAGGAGTTCCCATCACTGGAGTTTTATATATCAATTGTGCTAGGTTTCTTTGTCACATTTTGGGGAATTTTGGGCTATTTGACTGTCAACCGTTCGTGGAGGAATGCCTACTTCACATTCTTAACAAACATGAGGATTTGGCTCCATATGACATAAAGAATCTGCTTTGCAAGACTGAAGGGAAAGCGAAGGAGCTGAATAATGTAAAGTTTCTATGTACTTTGTTTACTATCAAGAGTTAACTTGTTTATTCGACTGATGCAGACGCGGTTCTCTCGTCGTGAAAGAAGTAATGAAAAGGAAGCCCGGGGTCAAAGTGTGTTTGTTGTTCCTTCCTTCTATAAAGAAAGGGGCTGTGAGTCTTGCCAGTTCGAAAGTGCCTTCGACAGAAGTCTTCAAATTCGCTCACATTACGATCCCTTTCCGGAAGGAGCCATGAAAGCTTCTATCGTTCTGAACTTTACGAAAGGAGGCTAGACCAAAGCCGTTCAGTGGTGAATCGGTGGATAAGAGATGCCTTCCTTCGATCAGTTGTAGTCGATAAAGGCCGTAAAACATAGGAATGCAGTGGTGGCTGTCTAGCTGCAATATTTATTGATCTTTTTTCCTCCCCTGGAAATTCCTTATATTAGAAATCCAGTAGTTCTAAAGTTTAGAAGTGGCAAGCATCTCTATAACGATCATTCGTTATAACAACATTCATTATAACAATATGATTTTCTCCTGAAACAATTTTTCATGTTAAATTTTAGTTCTCTATAACAACATGATCTACCTATAATCGGAATGTGATTCATTATAACAGTACACTCTTTATAAAATTACCCCATTACAACAATAATGCTAAAATATTGTATAGTAAAATTTTGTAAGAAACATATGATGTATAAAATAAAATATAAATCATTATTAATGTCATGCACATAGTAAATTTCAAGTACCAATATTTTAAAGAAAAAAAATTGTATTTAAATAGAATCCATAAGTTATGGTCATAACTTCATGAGAAAAGACTACTGATGTTTGTCTTTCTTCTTTTATAATCTTTCTGCTTTTTTGGTTAAACTAGCTGACAAATACATTCCTTATTTTTTATGACAAAAATTTTCTACATACTTTGTTTATAATAGAAATTCAAACGTCAATTATTAGTATACATATATAATAATATCTTACTATGATAGTCCTGGAATGTTCAAACAAACTATAAGTGATTTCTTGTGTCAGTCTACTTATAGACACACTTAACTAAAACTATGACAAGCTACTCTACCACATTCCATTAGTGATATGGATTCGATCAACTTATTGTTTGCAATGAATTTTATGTATCGATCTATATCTATATCTATTTATATTATAATAAAAGTAGTAATATTCTTAATAATATAGTTTGAATTTTTCGCCCTTCGTTAAAAGACTTTACTTTAAACAAAATCATCTTTTTACTATTTTCCTTCAACTATTATATCATTATTTTAATCCTATATATTGCATATTCACATTAATAAATATAATATACTCATTCAATAGTTAGGAGTCTTGGTAGGGAGTATTAGGAGAAATCGTCCATGTATTATGTATGATATTATTTAGTAGTACTATATTTCATAGAAATTTTGGACCTATGTATAACTAATCCACATCCTGCATGGTATTGTAGGATGCATTACTAATACCTTCCATTTTGTGGTATTAATAATACATAGGATTTAATACCATGAGATTTAATCTATGTAAAGACAAAAATATCCCTCAAATCATTTTAATCATTTTCTTGATTTTATGTACTAGTAAATTTATTTAAATAAATTAGTTTATAAATTTTATTATTTAGACAGAGTAGTGCTTTTTCTATAGAAGTCTTCTTTGACTCCATCTCCATGTAGTTGTTAATGCTACTAGCCATAGTGGGAAAAAAAAATCACATGTTATGTATAATATAACTTTTCTTTTGATTCTTTTTTTTCTTCTCAAAGTGGGATCACTTGTTTTTATGTCCAACTCAAGTTACTAGAATAACTAGAGAAAAGTCAGTATAATCTTGGATTGCTAAGTATTAAATTTCCTAATTGGTAATTTAAGTACATACATTTGTTAATCCATGTATATCTTACCAATAGATAAATGACCTTGCAAGTTTTCTAGGAAAAATAGATGCATGCAAGAGAAAATTAGGTGATATTGTTGGAACTTGGAAGTTTACATGGATATTTGATGTGGCCCTTTTCTCATTTTGCTTTTCTTAGTCTTTTTGGTATAGAAGTTTCCATGTACATACTTGTTTATGCAACTAGCTAAAGTGGGACAAAAATCAGATGCAATGAATAACTTCTCTTTTCAATCTTTTTTTCTCATCAAAGTGGGGTCATTTGTCTAGGAAAGTACATGGATACATGCAAGAACTAGTCCATGGCAAATATATATGTATATATTAATTGCTTCTTGCTCATAGTTTCAAGAAAAAAACAATGGACAAATGGAAATATGCAAGATTAGCTCAGTTCCTTTTCTGTTTGTCTCTACTGTTCCTAGAGACATCTTTTGGATTAACAGGTAACAAGACCCTGTGTTTAGATAAGGAGAGAGATGCTCTTCTTGAGTTCAAAAGAGGTCTTACTGATTTTTTTGATCATTTATCTACATGGGGTGATGAAGAAGATAAACAAGAATGCTGCAAATGGAACGGTATTGAATGCGACAGAAGAACAGGTCATGTAACTGTTCTTGATCTACACAATGAGTTTACTTGTTCTGCTGGTGCCAGTGCTTGTTTTGCTCCAAGATTGACAGGTAAACTTAGCCCTTCTCTGCTTGAGTTGCAGTATTTGAATTTCTTGGACCTCAGTGTGAATGAATTTGAAAGAAGTGAAATACCAAGATTCATAGGCTCACTTAAGAGACTAGAGTACTTGAACCTCTCAGCTTCTTCTTTTTCTGGTGTAATTCCAATACAGTTCCAGAATCTAACTTCTTAAAGGACTCTTGATCTTGGAGAAAATAATCTTATAGTAAAGGACCTTAGATGGCTTTCTCATCTGTCTTCTCTAGAGTTTTTGAGTCTGAGTTCTAGCAACTTCCAAGTAAACAATTGGTTTCAAGAGATAACTAAGGTCCCTTCATTGAAAGAATTGGACTTGAGTGGTTGTGGACTCTCTAAATTGGTTCCATCTCAATTCTTCTTTCATATCTCTTTCTGTTCTTCATTTATGTTGTAATGAGTTTTCTTCTTCATCTGAATATAGCTGGGTATTCAATTTTAGCACAAGCCTAACTAGCATTGAGCTCCTTTATAATCAACTTATCGGTCAAATTGATGATCGCTTTGGGACCTTGATGTATCTTGAACATCTTAATCTTGCTAATAACTTTAAGATTAAAGGTGGGGTTCCCAGTTCTTTCGGGAATTTGACCCGTTTACGTCATCTGGACATGTCTAATACTCAGACAGACCAATGGCTTCCTGAGTTGTTTCTCAGGTTATCAGGCAGTAGGAAATCACTTGAGGTTTTGGAGTTGAACGACAACTCATTGTTTGGTTCAATTGTTAATATGACAAGATTTTCATCCTTGAAGAAATTATACCTGCAAAAGAATGTGCTGAATGGTTCTTTCATGGAAAGTGCGGGACAAGTTTCTACCCTCGAGTATCTGGATTTGTCTGATAACCAAATGAGAGGGGCATTACCAGATTTAGCATTGTTTCCATCATTGAGAGAGTTGCATCTTGGCTCTAATCAATTTCAAGGGAGGATACCACAAGGTATTGGACAACTTTCACAGCTTAGAATTTTGGATGTCTCGTCCAATAGACTGGAAGGATTACCAGAAAGTATGGGGCAACTATCTAATCTGGAAAGTTTTGATGCCTCTTACAATGTCCTGAAGGGTACAATTACTGAGTCCCACCTTTCAAACCTCTCCAGTTTAGTGGATTTGGACTTGTCATTCAACTCATTGGCTCTGAAGACGAGCTTCAATTGGCTTCCTCCTTTCCAGCTACAAGTTATAAGCCTGCCGTCTTGCAATTTGGGACCTTCTTTCCCAAAATGGCTTCAAAATCAACATAACTATACTGTTCTTGATATCTCTCTTGCAAGTATTTCAGACACGCTTCCAAGTTGGTTCTCTGGCTTTCCTCCCGATCTAAAGATTTTGAATCTCTCAAACAACCAAATCAGTGGAAGAGTGTCTGACTTAATAGAGAATACATATGGTTATAGGGTTATAGATTTAAGCTCTAACAACTTTTCAGGGCCTTTGCCACTAGTCCCTACCAATGTCCAAATATTTTACCTGCATAAAAATCAGTTTTTTGGATCCATCTCTGCAATTTGTCAAAGTAAAACATCCCCCACTTCTCTCGACTTGGCACACAACCAATTCTCAGGAGAACTTCCAGATTGTTGGATGAACATGACAAGTCTAGCTGTTCTTAATCTAGCTTATAACAATTTCTCTGGAGAAATTCCACATTCATTGGGTTCCTTGACAAATTTGAAGGCGTTATACATACGCCAAAACAGTTTTAGTGGAATGTTGCCTTCTTTTTCACAATGTCAGCAGTTGCAAATCTTGGATCTTGGAGGGAATAAGTTGACAGGAAGTGTCCCGGCATGGATAGGGACTGATCTACTCAATTTGCGCATTCTAAGCCTGCGGTTCAACAGATTGCATGGCAGCATACCGTCCATAATCTGTCAGCTTCAATTTCTTCAGATACTGGACCTTTCAGCAAATGGATTATCGGGGAAAATTCCACATTGCTTCAACAATTTTACCTTATTGTATCAAGATAATAATTCTGGCGAGCCAATGGAATTTATAGTTCAAGGTTTCTATGGTAAATTTCCTCGTCGTTACTTGTATGTTGGTGACCTATTGGTTCAATGGAAAAATCAGGAGTCTGAGTACAAAAATCCTTT